AAATGGGACTTGGCTGGGCCTTCAAAGATGGATAGGATTTGTATAGTTAGCAAAAGGGGATATTTAAGGTGATAGAACTGATATGAGACAAACGTACTTGGAGATATAAATAATCATGGCATGTTTTAAAGGACAGTAAGGAGACTAGTATGATTGGTCTAAAGTTTGCTTTTGGAAAAATAAAATAAAATTAGATAGGTAATATAATGACAGATTATGAATAGTCTTGAAAGTCAGCCAGAGGAGTATAGGTGAAAGTCGGGAGGAACTGACATTGATGAATAACATGATGAATAACATGATGAAAGTGGTATTGAAGGATGAATGGTTATGTGGCCAATGCACACTGCATTGAAGAAGAAGAAGAGATTGTACCAAGGAAAGAGAATTATGAGGCTGTTGTAGCAATCCAGTAGTGAGATATTACAATAATGGAAGTAGTGGGAATATATTGCAGATTGGATGTAAGAAGCATTTTGAAGGAAACAGTGGTGGGAAGTAGTGACTGGATATAATGAATGAAGGACATGAATAAGTTTACACTAATGCTAAGGTTTCTGTTCTCAGTAATCAGGAGAACAGTGATGCCATTGAGGGGAATAAAGAAATTGAAGGCTGTGGCATTTGTGAAGGAATGATGTTTACCAGCATCTCAAATCTTGTGAAATGTCCACATGTACATTTTAATAAGAAGTTGGAGACTAGAATTCAGGTAAGGAAAATTGATAGTTGAGATGTAGATTTGAGAATAGTTAACATCGAAGTGATAATCAAAGCCATAGGGATGATTGAAATCTTGGGGTTAAGGAATAGAGAAACAAGAAAAGAAAGTTTAGGACAAGGGTGAGGAACCTGGTGGCCCTCTAGCTCCTCAAGTACGGCCCTTTGACTGAATCCAAACTTCATAGAATAGAACTCCTGGTTTAGGATATAACCTTGGATTAAAAAAATGAAGGTTGAGATAAGTGATGGGAGAAAGGAGAGAAACCAAATAACCCAGCAAAGGAAATAAAGAAGTAATTGTTATAGAGCCAGGGCAAAAACCAAGCAGTGTTGTGGAAGCCAAATACAAAAAGAATGTAGCCAAGAGGTCAAAGAGAGTGGAGATGGAAAGATGCTAGCTGGGAAATAGTAGAACTAGATTTGGCACTGATTGGATAAACTCATTGGTTCGATGCCAGATCTGAGGAAGGCCTCCAACAAAGTGTCCTAGAGGTGGCTATTTGGCTTTGTGATGTTTTAGGGTTTTTTTTCTTTTTAAATTAGTGATTTAGATAAATTCATGGGTAGCATGCTTATAAAGTTTTCTGATGACCACAACTATAGGAAAAATATCTGACATACTGCATGATGGGGAAGGAGGGAAGAGAAGGGAATAAGCATTTTTGTAGCACCTACTATGGGCCAATCGCTATACTAAGCAGTTTACGAGTATTATCTCATTTGATTCTCACAACAACCCTGCAAAGGAAGTGCTGCTATCACTATTTTACAGTTAAGGATACTGAAGCAACAGAGGTTACTAGATTAAATAAAGTATTTGTTGAGATTAAGAACTGTTTTATTTGAGTGCTAGACATGGAAACTATGTTACAGGAAACTAATGAGGGAATAGATGGGGAAATGGAAATAGGTATCAGTCAATTATTTAAAAATACTGGCATTGAAAAGAAGAGAAACAACATGATAGCTGGTCTCAAAAATACTTTTTAAAAAGTAGAAGTTTTATTTCTTTCAGTTGCCAAGTAATATGTGTTTACAAATGATCTTATTTCATGAATTTCAAAAAATTTCAATTAAAAACAACAAAGATATTTTATTTTGCCTAAATATCTGATTTGCAAAAGTAAACTAATTGAAGTCATTTCAAAGTATTTGGCACAGAAAATGTCTGAGAAACTTACATAATTCATTTTAAATGCTGATTGTGCTCATTTCAGTAGTTGGTAACACTGATAAGAGAACATACTTATTTAGAAAAGATGCAAAATTGTATATAAAATGTGTTATGTTCTCCCATGAGAAAGTAAGCTACTGGAAGGGAGAGGCTATCTTTCTTTTTGCTTGTATTTATATTCCGAGAGCTTAGAACAGTGCCTGGTATATAACAAATGCTAACAAATTTTAGAAATTAAAAATATAATCTAATTTATATGGAAATAGAAGAAAGGACTTGGGGATTAGTCACTTTCTCTCTCTGGGCCTGTTTTCTGATTTCCGAAATGAGGTAATTGGACAGAACAACTTCTAACATCCCTTCTCAGCCATGATGCCTGTGATAAATATTATGGAAACATTCCAAACAATGAAAGCTGTTTTAGGCATCCTTCATTACCATGGATACTTGGCCATTCAAGTGTGGTCCAACAAGTATTATGCAAGTTGTGCATAAAAGATCTCATTGATTATGGTATTTTTCTCCAATGACATGAATCCTCCAATAATTTGGTAGATAGCTGTAAAAAAGTTATGTGCCAGAAAAATTGATTAATCTGCAGCTAAACCTAGTAATTAATTAATTAATATTACTATTAGATGATGACTTTTAAAAGCTGAGACTTGAAGGAATCCACGGAAGTAAGAGGCAGAGTTGAGGAGGGAGAATAGTTTAGACATGGGAGACAGACAGTGAAAAGGCATTACAGTCAGATGATCATGGGAGCATTTTCAGCTGATAGGGATAGACCAGGGAAAAGACATAACATTTGAGCTAGGTCTCAGAAATGATGGCAGAGGGAATTCCAGGAATAGGAAATGTCCTGAACACAGGCCTAGAGACAGGAAAGCATAGTCTTTAGGTGTTTCTGGAATCAGGACTGCCATTAATTTTTAATAATAATAATAATAATGATAATAATAACAATAGCTAATATTTATATAGTGCTTACTCTGTGCCAGTCCTAAGATCTTTAAAATTATCATATCATTTGATCCTCACAACAACCATGAGGGGTAGGTGCTATTGTTGTCCCAATTTTACAGTTGAGGAAACTGTGACAAACAGGGTTAAGTGATTTGCCTAGGGTCACATAGCTAGTAAATATCTGAGTCCAGATTTGAACTCAGGCCTTCCTTACTCCAGGTCAGATGCTCCACCCATGGAAATCATTAACTGCATTACAAATTCATAAATTAGTGATTGCTGATATAATCTCTGGGAAGGAATTACTTTGTAGACAAATTCCAAAAATTCCTTAAGAAAAAGATCCATAGTCATATCTGTAGATGGAAATTTAAAGGCAGAAAATTATAGGAGACACCAACCTTCTTTACTTATGTGAAAGAATTAGATATAACCAGAATGGTGTTTTTATTTCCTTTATCCTTTTAAGATGGAACAAGCAATTGAATAAGATTTCTAGAGGAATATTTATAGGGCCTTGCAGATAGACCACATTGCATTGGAAATGCTTGAATTACACTGCTTCTATTTACTCTGGTACTTCAATGATTTACGGTTTTTTTGGGGCCAGCATTCTCTAGAGAACTGGACTTGGAATCAGAAAGACTCATTTTCCTGAATTCAAATCTGGTCTCAGATACTTTCTAGCTGTGTGACTCTGGGCAAATCACTTAAACCTATTTGCTTCAGTTCCTCAACTGCAAAATGGGCTGGAGAAGGAAATGGCAAACCACTCTAGTATCCTTGCTAAGAAAACCCCAAATGGAATCACAGAGTTGGACACAACTGAAAATGACAGAACAAAAACAATTCTCAACTAATGCAGATTACACCTTCTTAGTGTCATTTAGACAGACTATATATATATATATATATATATATATTTATATATATATATTTTTTTAGAGCTGCTGTTACCTAAAAGTTCATCATCACATGAAATAGTCTGGAAATGATTTACAAACTTAGCTAGGTTGCTCTTTGGGCCTATACTTGAAGCTTTCCAGGTTGGAACATGCTGAAGCTTACACTTCCCTAGCAAAGCTTTCTAGAAAACTGGGTCACTTCCACACTAAAATGAGACATTTTAGAGACTTTGTGAGTCTTTTCAGTCTTATATTGGAACAAAAACTTTGAATCTAAAATCATAGTTGTTACGTAAAATGCTTAGTTCATAAGCTATGAATTTAATAGTGCACACAGTTTTAAAATCTGTTGTATCTGACACTGAGTAACCACAAAATTGTGTCCAAAAACCCAAATATTTTATCCATCTAAAATCTTTCAATTAATAATAAATACATGAGGTCAAATTTAAAAAAATCACTAATTAATTGACTTCCATTCGACAATGGTAAAAGTAACTTACGTCATTAGCTAAATTATATTAATTAGTTAGGTTTTTCATATGTTCATTTGTGTGTGTATGTATGCATATATTACACTGATACTTTGGGAGAAGTATTTTGTAATGGATTTATCAGAAAAAGCCAAAGGATCCATTCTAGTTTTCCTTAATTATTGCAAATAATAATGTTAATGTTACTAGTAACATTAATAATTAGCATTTATATAGCATTGGAGATTTTCAAAATATTGAACATATTTCATTTGATCCTCACAACAACCCTGGGTGGTAAGTGCTATTACTACTCCCATTTTACAGATTGGGGGACTGAGGCAAACAAAGGTTAAGTGATTTTTCTAGGGTCACACAGTTAATAAGCGTCAGAAGTGGAATTTGAACTGAGATCTTCCTTAGTCCAAATTCAATGTTCTTACACACTGGGCTACCTAACTGCTGAATAATAACAGAGAATGAAGAAAACTTGGTAGCCTTTCTTTACTATGGAGGATCTATTTCTATAATTTTACATTATTTTCTTCAAAGATACATTTCAAAATTTTAAATATTTATTCTCATTAAATGTAATTCCCCTACCCATTTTTGAAAAATAAATTCTTCCATTTGGGACATTTAAAGTGAAACCTCAATGCAAAAGATAGAAGGGTAGGAACTGAGTACCACCAGTGAGTTCTTACTAAAATCTCAAACTCCATGTATACACATACATATAACTTTTCTTTTTAATTGTAGACATGGGATGTAGAACTGGAGAGATCTGCAGAATCCTGGGCTGAAACTTGCCTGTGGGAACATGGGCCTGCAAGCCTGCTTCCATCAATTGGACAGAATTTGGGGGCACATTGGGGAAGGTAATTTAAAATAAAACTTTTAATTTTACAAAATGTGAATGTTTTCTACACAAATTTATATTAACATATCTCTGCAAGCTAACATAATCTTAGGGCCAAATTAAATTAGACAAAAAAAGTAATAATAGCAGCACCTGAACAGCTCCACTGTTAAATGGATTAAATTAGTGACAGAAAACTCAAACTTTTTTGAAACTTGTAATTTCTTTCAAAAATCTATCTTTAAGACTATGTTAAATGGCTCATTATAATATTGATTATGTATTTTTCAGTATTTAGTTTGGAGTTTTAATAAATTCTGATTTTATTTAATATAGATACAGGCCTCCAACATTCCATGTCCAAGCATGGTATGATGAAGTGAGAGACTTTACCTATCCTTATCCACATGAATGTAACCCATATTGCCCCTTTCGATGTTCTGGTCCAGTTTGCACACATTATACTCAGGTATGTTTATTGGCTACAGACTAAATCTCTATTTCTAGTGTTGGATCAATATTATTCTAGGAGCAGTAATTGAATTTGTAATAAGATGGGAGTGGCATTAGATTTGGAACCAGGAAATTTAGGTTCAATTCCCAGTTCTGCCACTTAGCATTACCTGTGGAAAGATCTTCAGGGATTATTTATTCCAGCCTTCTATTTTTACAGATGAGTACTATGAGTCCAATAGAAGTGAAATGACTTGTTCAGGGTCATAAAGATAGTAAAGAACAGAGCTGGGATTGGATCTCAGGTACTTTGACTCAAAATTTAGTATTCTTTCTGTTGTTTGCCACACTGCTACCGTCTGACTTATTACTATTGAAATGGAAGAGACATAATTTGAAATATACATATCATGTATGAACCAATGTGGACTTTATACATTTCTCTTATCATTATTGTTCATTTACCAAAAGTGATATTTTAATTTATTTACAGCACTTATACAAAAGTAAGAGTTTCCATTTCTTTTTTTCTCTGATAATGTAAAAACAAATATTTAAAAAAAAAGTTTAGATATGTGATGGTCACAATATACTAAGACTTTGATTTATCATTGCTCTGATGAGTTTGATGGCTAGACTCTTTCTTTGTCAAATAATTTTTAAAGAAGGCAATCTAAGTCTAAATTTCTGTAGGATTCCCCCCTCCCCCATTCCTCTCACAATATGCAGAAGAGAAGATTGGACCAGCCAGTTGTATCTTTTTAAAATGAATGTCGGTCTCTATTCTGAGACCTGTTAATGAAACACACCTTCCTTCTGTCAATAAATAGGTGAGGAAGTAGGGGAGATTAATGCAGCATAAGCTATCAGATGTGATCTCTATGTTGGTTTTCCATGTATTTTTCTTTATTACAAGGGAGGGCTCAGCAGGGTCAGGGATACACCAAAAATGATCATGGTATTAAAAAAAAGGAATAAATAAAACTTTCTGAAATAGGATGGAAAAACATGATTTAGTAGAAATAATATATTAAGCTGGTAGTCAAGAAACCTATGTTCCAGTAGGGATGTATATGTATTATACAGTGTATCCCAAAAGTCTTAGTGCAATTTTAATCTGTTAAAACACAACACAGCACTAAGACTTTATAGATACACATACATACATGTGTGTCTGTCTAGCTGTTTGTCTCTTATGGATAGACAAATGTGTGTGGTGTGTGTGTGTATTTTGGTTTTGCCACTAATTAGCTTTGTGACTTTGGGCAAATTATTTTTCTGTAGTTCTTATTTTTTCTGATCTATTGAATAAATGTAGTTGGGCTAGAACATCTATCAAATCTTTTCTGTATTTCAGTTTGGTGGCCTATATATAAATCCGGAGATTAATCCTTAGGGTTTTTTTTTCTTTCCCCTAATAGAAACTTATTTGATCTCTTTCTGCAATCTTAGAGCATTCTGTCTAATGGACAAAAACTGAAGGGCTATTTTCATTTATTCACTTGTTTATTGATGCAATATTAATTTTTTTTCTGTAACTCTTGACCAGTCAATGCATCAGCCATTCATTAAATACCTACCATAGATGCTCATAGATGCTAGGTGATGGCAGCTTTATGCTAGGTCCATAGAAGATTTCACCTATGGGTGTCAGTCCTTTCAGTGTTTAATAAGTTTATCCCTCTTTTAAAGGATAAGAAAACAGTAGGATAAGAAAACAATTATATAAGCAGCTAGAGATGCTTCCTACAACATTTTAATATTTTGTCAACATCATTTCCACTGATTTCTTCTGAAAAATATTGTTAATTTGATTTAAGTAGCAAAGTATGCTATATCTGTAGCTAAATAATTTAAATAATTTAAAAAGTTCATCACTCATTAAATCTTATGAGGCAAGGATCCAATCAGTCCTTGTCCCTGGACATAGGGATAATAGTTGTAATAACTCTGCATTAATATAATCTTCCACAGTTTACAAAATACATGTGCATCTATTGGCTTATTTGCTTGTCAGAGCAACCCTTAGAAGAAAGCAGAGAAATATTATCAGTCCCATTTCACAAATACGAAAACTGAGACTTAGGAAGGATAAGGGACCCAAAGGTCACACATAGCTCTTGATTAGCAGTCAGAATTACATGATTGTTTTTCCCACATTCATTCTTCAGGAATTCACTCATAGAAATGTTGATGTTCTTTATCTAATTGGATGTAACTTTGTTTCCTGTCATGTAGGTTGTTTGGGCTACAAGTAGCAGAATAGGTTGTGCTATTAATTTGTGCCACAATATGAACATCTGGGGACAGATATGGCCTAAAGCAGTTTATTTAGTGTGCAATTATTCTCCAAAGTAAGTATAGAAACAGGAATGAATTTCTAAATTTATGCTTAAAACTTGAAAATGCTTTCATTTGTCAGACTGCTGTTCTTAGCTTGTACTCTTAAAAATGTTTTCAGCATGCTCACACTATACAGATCTTAAAAGGCAAGTGTAGTTGTTACTTCTCAAATTCAATAGGTTTAGTGTCTTTAGCAAAATTTGAGAATGTAAACTCCATGAATACAGAGACCATATTTTTGATCTCTTTTCTTTTACTCAGTGCATACTGTGCTCCATAATTATTCCCTCATGTTAATGCAATAGATGTGAATTATTTCACAAAGAACATAAACAATATTTGGAAAACAGTTCAGTATATGTGACACAGTCACGACATATCTAATTTAATTCTATGGTAAGTAGATTTTGTTACAAGGAATGGCATATACGTATATATTTTGTGGCAAGGTTTAATCCTCTGGCACGTAATAGGAATATATGTACTCAGATTATTTTGCACATTTTCAAAGATAGAAATAGGGCCATTATTTATATTTTATAATTGTAGAGTGAAAGATTAAGAGTATGAGCCAACTGACAGAATTTGGTCCATTGACTTTTGGAAGAATTTCAAATATTAGGTTGTTCAATTCTTCATAATTGTAAGTTAAACTTTTGATGTTATATTTCTCTTTAAGGGGTAACTGGTGGGGCCATGCACCTTACAAACATGGTCGGCCCTGTTCTGCGTGTCCACCCAGTTTTGGAGGGAGCTGTAGAGAAAATCTTTGCTACAAAGGTATATTAATTACTATTGTTATATTGAGGTTTTTTTTTGCCACTTCTACATTAAAACAAAATGCAATTTGGACTTTCAGATTATATGCTAACATGAATGCCACAAAAGTGACCAGAGCTACACTATAGTAACTGTATGGGAAAGTTTTGTAAAATAAACACTTAGAATTATCTGTAAAATATCCAAGTTCTAATAACTGTGAAATTGATGGATGGAAATTCTCATGGCTATTCCAAATGGCCAAGGGAGGAAAATATATTTACATACTTCAAAAAGTCAGAAGTTGATGTTTATTTCTTTTTCATATCAATTTGATTTATTGTTAATTTTCATTATTCTTGTAATATTGGGTTAACATAGTATTAATTTGGGTGGTTTTCTTTTGCACTGTTATCCACAATTTCCTCAACATAATTATCAGATTGTAGATTTTGTGTCCAGCATCTCATTCAGTGTATATTTTAGTGTACTGAGGCCAGAAAATGGTTCTGCATGTCCCTTTGCCCAAGGAATAAGAAGACAAGATTATTAGTGTTGAAATATTACAAGGAATAAGCATTAGTGTAGAAGTTTTGTCTTTTAAATAGTTGTGAGAAGTTTTGAGTAGAAGTAAAGTTGGCAAAAAAATTAGAATCAAATTTATCTAATAAAAAGGTGCTATAAAATGAATGAGTTAAAATATTCATTTAAACCAATATTTAAAAACCTGTATTTTTGTCAATGTCGCAATCCCCTTGGATCTATAACTTGCAGCCCTAAAGAATTTCCTACTATAGAGGTTAATTGATTTGCTATGGTCACCCAAGTAGTATTAGAGGCAGACACTGGAACCCAGGCCTTCCTGATGCTGTGCCCTAAAGTGGCCTACCACACTCCCTTTCCCTCAAAGAAAAGGCCCACATAGAAGTTAACAGATTATATTATTTCAATTCAATTAAATACACATTTATTAAGTGGCTGCTGGCACTGTGCCAAGATAGAAATAAAACAATCCCTCAAGGAATTTAGGTTCTACAGAATGATTTGTGAAAATATTCTTTACTATATTAAAAAAAAAACAGGTGTAGGATTTAAACAGCTTTAGAAAAAAAACTAGATTGTAATTTTAAAATATAATTCATAATATACTCATTTTACAAGTAACTTAATCTGATATTTTTGTACATATGATCTGCCTTCTACATTTTTGCTGCTCACCAGACATTAAGAAAAGGGAGGGATGATTGGCTCCAGTAGATGAAGCCCATTTTCTATTACTCTTCAGTAGGGCTTAAGGTATTTATGGTTAGACTTTCTTTAACTAGAGAAGCACAATAAGTCACAATGAGTTTTCCTGGTGTCTTGCCTGTTCTAATAATAATGATGATGATGATGATAATAATTGATAGAATTTACATGGAACTTTGGTTTGCAAAGCCCTTTACAAATATCTCATTTTATCACAACAGCCCTGGGACGTAGGCACGATTATTATTATTCATAGTTTCTAGATGAAGAAACTGAGGCAGACAGAGGTTGAGACTTGCCCAGGGTCACACAGCTAGTAAGTGCTTGAGGTAGGATTTAAACTCAGGACTTTCTGACTCCACCCAGTGCTCTATCTACACTGTCACCTAGTTGTCTTTTATGAACAATGGTTTCTTCTTTTCTAGTGCCCTTTACTTATTCTCTTTATGTCCTAAATCAGTGATATCAAAGTCAAATAGAAATGGGGCCAATACTCCATACATAAGGATCCATGTAGTCTTCATTTTGACTTACTTGTATTTTTGTTTATTTTGTAAAATACTTCCCAATTACATTTTCATCTGTTCTGGGCTCCACTTGGGAGGATTGTGTACTACTTATAGAACACAAGCTGCTTGTTTGACACCTCTGTCCTAAATATTTCCCACACCTGGAAACTTTCTGGTTTGTAACTCTGAAAACTAGTTCCCTGAGGAGGGTTATTGTGGGAGTCGGATGAGAAGATTTATGTGAAGTTTAATGTACTATTTGAATATCCATGTTCTATAGATGAAGTTTATATAAGTTGAGTGACTTGTGCCTGCTTGTATAGTTTATAAGCAGGATTTGAACAAAGATCTCTCTAAGTTGATTACAGTTTTAATTATTTTCTGTTTTACCATACTGTTTCTCAATAACTACAGTTGAGTGATAGATTTTTTCAGCTAGTTTTTCCTCATATTTATCTTACTCAGTATTTGTAAAAATATTCTTACAAAGCAAGTTTCTGGAACTGATATAAATGTAAGATGGGCTTTTGATTCTCTCTCTTTAATTCATTCTATATAACAGAAGGCTCAGAAAGGCATTTCTCTCCTCATGAACCAGAAGAAACAAATGAAATTGAACAACAGCAGTCACAAGTGTATGATCCCCAGATTCAAGCAAGAGCTGATGACAGTAACAGAAATGAAGTTATAAGTACACAGCAAATGTGTAAGACCTTTTCCTTTGTATTAAAGGGAATGATTACATTGGAATTTTAAAAGACTTTGATACTTTCCATCAATATGGAGATTTTTTTCCACTGGTAAAAATCAAAATACCTTCCTAATTTTTCATTTTGTGCAGTTACTACCTAATTCCTCATATGTCTGTTTGCCACAATAATAGTACCAACATATGAAAAACACTTTCAAATTTAGAGTCTTTTTCACAGGATCTTCCCGACACCTCAGATTCATCCTTTGTTTGTAATTGGTTGGTGCTGGTTATACGTGGACTTAATGATGGACTTTACAATAGTTTTCACTTGGTGATATCCTGTATCCAGTTTAGATCTACTACCTGTCTTTCCACTATCTTTGCAATTTTGATTCTTCTGAGATTGTGGTGGTGGATAATTCATATCTACATAGCCTCAACTTTAAAATATTGGAGTCATACAAGCAAAACTTCGAGAATACTATATTGAGTGCCATTGACATCCATATCTTACTTTTACTTTTCATTTTTCAAATGGGTAAAGCTCAGACCATAGATTCTGAATTCTGTTTTATCTAAGAATAATATATATAGTGAATTTTAAAAAAAATTAAGTTTTATAGTAAATGAAAGAAATGAAATACATAATCAAGGATATATATATATATATTATATATATATATATATATCTGGAAAAGAAACTGGGGCAATCTTGGAGTCTATGGTAAGGAGAGTAGATAGATGATTCAAGTGTTGTTGTAGTACTTACATGATATAAATATCCAGAGAAGACCTTTAGTACAGTGAATGGATCTTCTCTGGAGAATTTATGAAAGGACCTCAACAGGCTAAGAATCTATGGATGGATTTTATATGTGCTATACTGTTAGAGGGTGTATACCTGTAATTGAGATAATGAATACATTGGAATTCTGAAATACATTTAATTAAAGATTTAATTCTGATGTTACTATTTGATGATGAACTTTTAATCCTCATGTTTATACAGGATTGAATTTTTTGGTTATAGGATGGATATTTTCATAAAAGATTCAACTATTTGCTTGTAGGCATTTAACTGTTTTTGAATCAAAATGATCTTATGTCTTAAATAAAAAGTCTGACCTCTGTTCTATTACTTAAAATACTTTTGTAATGGTTTGTTCTTATCTTTAGCTCAAATTGTTGCTTGTGAGGTGAGATTAAGAGACCAGTGCAAAGGAACAACATGCAATAGGTAACCTTTATGTATTATTCTCAAAATTTTATGGAAAGCAATACAAAATCATTATCAAATTAAAGCAATTTAACTTCTTTTCAAATGTTCTGTTTAGATATGAATGTCCTGCTGGTTGCTTGGATAGCAAAGCCAAAGTTATTGGAAGTGTACATTATGAAATGGTAAATATGATCAATAGAATTACTTAACAATTTGATACTGAAAACAATTGAAATGACAGGAGAAGGAAGTATGATATTAGAAGGCAGAGATTTTTGTTTGTTTGTTTGTATCCCCAGTGCCTAGCATAAGCACTTAATCAATACCTACTGATTAGAATTAAGGAGGAGTTTCTATAAATATTTATAGACACAACTTTTTAAAATGGAGGTTACATAGATCTGATCATTTTGCTGTGTGAATCTATGCTTCTTTCTCAAGTCATGTAAATAAGTTCATGTTCCTTTCAACCTTAAAGTGTGATAATGTTTCATCATCAAAATAATTTACTCTATGCCTTTCCCTTTCCCTTCCCCCCAAGCAATCAAGCATCTGTAGAGCTGCAATACATTATGGAATAATAGACAATGATGGTGGTTGGGTAGATATCACTAGGCAAGGAAGAAAACATTATTTCATCAAATCCTATAGAAATGGCATTCAGTCGATTGGGTAAGTATTTCTTTAGAACCAAATTATTGTGTGTTATAAAATAGAATTTATCTTTTTGGAAAATATCTGCTCTATTTTAAACATTATTGTTTTTATTTTCACATTGAGGTATGCAGAAATACTACTCTAAAGCTGATGTCTCTATATGTAGGATGTGTGTGTGTGTGTGTGTACACACATATGTATCCACAGACTAGATGTCTGTGGTAGAAGGTAGAAACCTAGCTACAGAAGTGTACAGAAAATATTAAAAATCAGAATATACTTTTTCTGTTCAATCCTGAAGAACTGATTTTTAAAGGGGTTAGTAGAAGATAAATCAGATTTTTCATTTTAAGGGGTAGCTGCTTTAATTTTTCTATCCATGGTTATGGCAGATATGATTTATATAACACTAAATTGTAACATATTTATTTTTAAATTGTGCTCATAAGATAACCTGATACCTGTATTTTTAAGAGAAATATTTTTAACAGAAATAGTTATCTGTGCAAAACAGGAATCCACATATCCACTATTATGACCAAACTTCTGAACTCATGTTCAGAAATTAATTTTGAAAATAAGATTCTTCTCAGGCATAAGAAAATGTCCAAACTTAATTTCAGTAGCAAAGTATGATATTTTTACAAATTTTATTTGAAAGAAAGCTTCTCATGTTTTAAATTCAAAATTATGTTTCAGGATTCAGATTCAGAATTGTTTTTCAATTTTTTTGAAAATTAGCAGTTATATATTTTGCTTTTCATGATGACAATATTTGAATATTCAGAAACATTTTAAGGAATTTGCTTTCTGTATGCTAAGAAGAAAGTCAATTTTTAAAAGATTTTCATACCTATAAATTGTCATAAGTTAAGGTACACTCTTGAATTTTCCAAACATCATCATTTCGGGGCAGCTAGGTAGCACAGTGGATAGAGCACCAGCCCTGAAGTCAGGAGGACCTGAGTTCAAATCCAGCCTCAGACCAAACACTTGACATGTACTAGCTATGTGACCTTGGGCAAGTCACCTAACCCCAATTGCCTTACCAAAACAAAACAAAACAAAACAAAATCGTCATTTCAAGGTAATATTTAAGATGTTCTGTTCACTGCATATATAATATATTGGTATTAAAGATATTGAAAAACTGGTAGTGATGGATGTTTTTATCATAATTTGATATGTTTTATCAGAATATCATTTCCCCATAATGTAGACTATAGAGTAGCTTGGGGAAAAATTCTCATTAAAAAGCATGTTATATGGAAATACCTTCTTTGGGAAGAATTGTGTTTTTTTGTTTTAGGAAACAGTTTTTCATTTGGATCACAGAATTATAGATTTAGATCTCCAAAAGATCTTAAAAGACATTGAATTCTTCATTTTAGAGAGGAGGAAACTAAAGCTGAGAAAGGTTAGGTGACAAAGTCATGCAGCTTGGAAGGGTTGGAGGCAGGATTGAAACCCGAGTCTTCCATGATTCCAAGTCCAGGACTCTATTCACTATACTGTTTTCAACATTTTACTAATAATGTGTTTTCTTAAATACCCAAATACCCAGAAGTCTCATTTGAAGCCATGTTAAAAAAATTAAAATTTAACCACAACTTATTTGGATACCATTTGAGTTTATAACTCTTTCATAAAATAGCATTAGAGAAGTCTTTTAGCATTTCCTTGTATCTGTTTTCAACTCTAGTTAGAACTCTGTATACAACAACAACAACAAAAAGTTTTCTTCAACATATTAATGAAACATAAAAGGTGAATAGAGGTGGTAGATGTGAAATGATAGATATTAATAGACATGAAAAATTTTAAAATTCCAGTAATAAAAATATAAGTTGCTTATAGTACAGAATTTATCATAATTTTTAACTGTTCAGTTAATTCATATTTAATATAGTGCAACATATTCATTTTTACTGATTTAACTTTAGATTCTTATTATTAGTATCAAGTAGCACATTACAAAATATTGAATATGTATTTATGTGTATATAGTGTAGAAGGTAGAATAAAGTATTGCTTCCCAAATAAATTTATAAAGAGGTTTTTTTTCTTCCTACAGGGTATATTGTGAACATTTTTATGGTCATATAATAATATTTTCTTCATGAAATACAATACAATTCTATTTTTGCTCCATTCACATAGGATTAAAATACCCACAAATGTTGCTTAGATGTAGTACTTAATAATTAGATTATGTTTTGTACAGATTTTCTTTTGGGGATATAAGCAACTTCAGAGATTTGTTATATTGTATGTTAGTAATCATAATCCTTATTATTTATATTGATTAAAATAGATCAACTTCCTTTTCAGAATAAAATAGTTTTCTTTTTATATTAATGCTTATAATAGAGTATTTTCACTCCCAAATTCAATCCCCACCCTGAAATCCTTATCTGTGTTCAGTAGTTGGTATTTCATTTATGTAAAATTGTGGTCTTTTTTGGTAAAGGTTGGGGGAAGGGAGTAACATTATGCAATATTGAACACTATGCAGTATTTAGGTAGATAGAAATGAGGGTTTGGGGAGTTAATTTTTTTCATAATTAACTTAATGCACTTTTACTATGTGGTATGTTATTGTTTTTTTTTCAGCTGTAACTTTGTGCAATAGCTATGTCCCTGAAAATTGGGTAAATCAAAACCTATTTATTGCATACTAGGGAAGTTTGATACTTAATGAAATCTTTAATGGAACCTTTTGTCAGGCAAATGCTTTCATTTATTGTATTCATATCTCGATATGAAAATATTGGATCTACTTAAAACAATGTAGGACTGCATGAAGTTCATGAGAAATCTGATAGTTGAGATTGATTTAATATAGATTGCAATCATTTTCATATTAAATTCATGCAACAGCCTGTTTATACAAAATTTAGATTTCTGATGACCTACCTGTCCAAAATACTCCAAGAGGTCTCTGAATAACTTCATTGTCACAAAGCCTTATCTAACTTTTCAGAACATACTAATGTGGTCTAAGAAATGGTGCAAGGTGTGTTACAGTATTAGAGATTATATTGATACTAAGCCTAGTATGTTGGATATTGTTTGCATCATCTTATTCTTCTTCTAGTTTCTATTAGATAGTCTATTGTGAGGAAAATGGCAAGAAGGAAAGAACCACTGTTCTCAGCCATCCTGTATCCAAACTCCTTTCTTCCTCCCACCTTTCATTTCCAACCCTATACCCCAGGTTACCTAACACTTTCTGGGATGGCAAGAAGGACAAAGGCAAGGGGAAAGTGTGTTGGGGATGGTGGTATTAAATACTCAACCAGTACTTAAACAGAGGGCTCTCAATTCCAAAGTTAGTGTTATTTCAATTCCATAAAGTTATTCTTTGTGATAAGACTGTAGATAGAGTTACAGTACAATAAGCTGGAGATTTGTAGTAATCTTTGGTTTCCTTTGTAGTGAAAGTTCACAAATATAAATTATTATTATTCTGTTAAATACCTATTTTAAAATAAACATTAAAAGGAATTTTACTTTTGATATCTCATGAACTTAGTATTAATAAGAGAATCTTAAATTCTGCATTTTACACGTTACTTATTGTTTTAAATTATTCTTTATGTTGTGTTAAATATTCCCACTGAGAATTCCCAAACATGTCCAGATGAGTTTTGTACATGATGTAATTCACTTACATTTTAGTAAGAAACTTTATCAAAGGCTATGTCAGTAACTATTGTCAGTATTAATGACAGTCTTGTTATGCTTAAGAAAATTATTGACTCATTCTGTCTTTTTTATCTTTAGCAAATATCAATCTGCCAATTCCTTCACAGTCTCTAAAGTGACAGGTTAGCACTTATTTTTAAGCTAATTTTAATACTACTGATTTTATTAATTTTCCTATGCATTTATTGATTTGTATTTATATTTCTTTAGTTCAAACCATTACTTGTGAAACAACTGTGGAACAATTATGCCCATTTCACAAACCTGCTTCCCACTGCCCAAGGTAACATTCTTGAAAACTTGATGATAATTTCTACATTTGGGACTGGATTTGTGATTCTAGCAGTATAGATAACTGCCGCATGAGGGAACTTCATCTATCGGTATAGGTTGGCACCTTCTCTGTAACTTATAGACTTAGAAATTTGCCCTGAACATTTCTAGAGTACAAGAATTATTTTTCCTTTTATTATAAGTTTCTTATAGTATAAATATTATTAGAGTTTATTGTTAACTAGAGGCAGCTAGATGGTTCAGTGGATAGAGTACTGGGCCCGGCTTCAGGAAGACCTGAGTTCATACCCTGTTTCAGACACTTGACTGTATGACCCTGGGCAGGTCACTAAGTCTCTGTTTGCCCCAGTTTTCTCATCTATAAAATGGGGGTCATAGTAGTGTCTATCTCCCAATGTTGTTGAGAAGATCAGATAACATAAAAATTATAAAGCACTTAGCACAGACCCTGTCACATAGTAAGCGCTATATAATAATTACTATTATTACATGTGAATTTTGTGGATATTGTTGTTCTAACCTTGTTACTATCATTTTGACTGTAATCAAGTGTTTACTGTAAAAGCTCTGTATTGTATAAAGCACAAGAAAGATCTAATTCTTGTTACAATAGAAGAGTTGTACATATCTTTATTATGATTGTTGAGATTATCCATGACTCTTATGTTTCCTAGAGTAACATCCATGGTGTGTACCATGGAACTCCCAAGCCATATGGACCTGTAGCTGTCGTATCTTTTATAAATAGTGCTTGGGTACATACATGTTGAACCTCTTTGTATTATTAGAGTACTACCCTGAACCTACTGGAAAATTAAGATAATTCTATTACTGTCATGCAAGACCTAACATATGTAAGACTATGCCATATGATGCCATTTATTGAATGACCTCTCCACAAATTACTGTCTTTTCTTTGGGTTTTTGTGGCACTTCTCTATTGGTTCTTCTCTTCCCTGTCTAACGTCTACTTGGTTTCCTCTGCTGGATCTCAACCTTGAACTGTATCTCTCCTACACTCTTTATGTTTGTGAGTTCATTATCTTCTATAGGTGTAATTATCATCTATATACAGGTGACTCCCACATCTATGTATCCCACCCAAATCTTTCCTGAGTTTCAGTCTTACATAACCAACCGACTTTTGGGTATTTCAAATTGAATGTCTTGTCTCAAACTCAATATGCTCCAAACTGAACTCATTATTTTTTTCCCATCAAACAAAGCAGTCTTCCACTCTTTATTTCTGCCGAGGGCACCATTATCGATCTAATTATCTAGGATCACAATATTGAATAATCTTCTCTCCCTCATTCCACAAATCCATTTACTAATTGTAAGGTTCTTTGATGGCAGGAGCTATTTCATTTTTCTCTTTAGCATACTATTCTTATACATAGTAGGAGATCAATAAATACTTTTGGATTGATAGGTTTTCTGTGGCATTTCTTGTTGTTGATGAGCCATATCTGACACTCTGTGATGCCATTTGGTGTTTTCATGGCAAAGATACAGGAACGGTTTGCCATTTCCTTCTCCAACTCATTTTATAGATGACGAAACTGAGGCAAACAAAGTTAAGTGACTTGCCCAGAGTCACACAACTAGTAAGTGTCTGAGGTGAGATTTAAACTCATGAAGATGAGTCTTCCTGACTCCAGGCCCAGCACTCTATTAGCTATGTGACCTAGCTGCCATCTTACAAAAGTCTGTTTTTGAAAGTTATTTAATTACTATGTAAGATCAATGATTTTACCATCCTATCTTTAATTCAATTATTCTTCTGTATTTTGTAATTCCAAAATATGATCAAATTTAACTCTTATTACAAAACAATCAGAAAGCATAAATGCCCACTATCCTCTTTTAAAACTTAGGTGGGGGAAAAAAAGGTCATCAGCTAGCATTTGTTAAGTACCTGTTATGTGACAGGCATTATATAGGGGGCATGTTTCAAAGACAAAAAAGAAATAATCAGTGCCCTGAAGGAGCTTACCTTCTAAAGAATTAAAAGTAGTATTTGTGCAAAGTGTTGCACTTCACTCTCAGTATTAAGAGTTTTTTCATTAATGTTCAATTCCATTCAACAAATATTTATTAAATGCATACCATGTGCAAAGAACCTGGCATAGCAATGTACTTAATAGTGTATTTAATAAATATTCCTTGAATTGAATTAGCTTCTACAGTATCAAAGCCCCTAATGCTACTTAGATTTTTAAGTTGGAGATATTCTGATGAAGATGCAAACCTTAGTATACAGGATATGAGTGTTTTGTTTAAAAGTACAAACACAAATGAAATATAGTATACAATTTTACAATTGTCTTTCTTTTATTTAATTCATTAAACTTAATTAATGGATAGTAAGTATGCTGAATTAGACATGATAAATCATAACTATCTACCTAGGGCTATAGGTCTTTAAATCTTTTGTATACCAAAAGAAAGGAGCTCTTTGGACCATTTCATAATTATTACATAACTAAGCCATTAGTTTTAGTTATTGATTGAAATTTTTAAAAAAATTACATATTAGTCACATTGGGAAAGAAAACACAGGACAAAACAAAACAATAAAAACAAAAAAAAACACCACAAGAAAAATAAAGAAAGTGAAAAATAGCATGCTTTGTTCTGCATTCAGACTCTATCAGTTCTTTTGCTGAAAATGGAGAACATTTCATCATGTGTTCTTTGGAATTGTCTTGTGATTGAAGTATTTAAACTATAATCTCAGCTTGTTTTACATATATGAAATTTTGAATTGAATTTTTATGTCTTTAAAAAACATTTTATCAGGAATAAAAGTGTCCTTTGGGTTGCAGTACTCTGAGAATCAGTTGAAGGATATGTGCTAATCTAAACTGGTAAAGGAGAATTTTCTTATTGGGAGTTCCATATGCCAATGAAATCACAACTCCTGTCCCTGACAAAATGCAATACATAGTAAGTTCCATAAACCAGAGAAGAAAGGCATTTTTGTTACTTTGTAGTCACATCATATATGTTACTAAGGTAATGGAAGATTCAGGTAAAGAAGAGGAAGCATATTTTAGTAAGTAATCATTCCTTTTTTTGCATTTCAAATATTGTGAGTAACCTTAGAAAACCTATCATCCTTTAGATTCCTTGGGGGGGAAATAACATCAAAAGGAAAGAAGACTCATGCTCTTTGGTACATATTTGGGTGGGTGGAGCACCTTTTTGTGGGTAGCAGAGAGGGCATCAATATTGAAGACTGTCTTGACTTTCTACATGGTTATAAATATTCCTCAACCACTGAAGTACTGTGTAGCTACAATCAGTTTTATCTTGGACTATTTTGAGTACTCTGAAGTAGTGGGGTTTTGAAATCATTCCAACAAAGCTGAAAGTCTTAAATGATGGTGGCTTCACTGTTCTTTGATTTTTTTTTACCCCTAGTCATTCCTTCCTTGAAGGCTTTCCTTACCTGTAATTTATTCTAAAGAAATGACAAAATAAACAAGTTAAGGGGTAATTTTTCTAAATGACAAATTCATGCCACTTTGGGACACACATTGAAATGATTTCTTCAGATTGCCACTCAGTCATTGTAATCTTGCTTTGTCCTATTGAAGTTTGAATATAAAATTTTCAACTTTTTTTATAAAACTTTACCATAAGAAAACCTAAATTTAGGGAGAAACAAATCAAGTGTTATATATTTTATAAAGTTCTAAGTATCATTTACTTTATTTGTATAAATCACTACCTGCTCTTTATAAGTAAAGAATAACAATTAACAATGGAACCCCACCAAAATACCATAGATTTCAATTATAAAACAGCTCATTAGCAAGCATTTTTGCATATAACATGAATCAAATCATGTTTCCCAAAGTATAAGTACACAAAGGAAGAGTGTAATATAATCTGATTAACTTTTAAGGCAAGTAAAAGTCCTAGTGTAAGAAATCTATGAACTACCAATAGTGTCAATAAGTTAAACTGGTTGAAATACACCTTTAATGAAAAATCTAATTTACTTTTGGGGTGAATTATCACTTTGGGCTGTGATTTTAAATCAAAGGAGGCATCATACTCCACTTAAAAATGAGCACCCTGATATTTTGTAAGGGTGAGGACTATACTAAGAATTATATGATATGTCCTCTGTCAGAAAGTTTCCTTTTTACAGGTATAATATAAAGTGGTTGTTCAAATAAAAACTTTCCCCTTTTTTCCTTTGGAAAAAAAAACTTTAAAAATACTTAGCTGTTATCTAAAAAGATTCATTTGTAATTTATTGTTTTTAGTGATTCTTTATCATGTGTTATATGTTTCCATCAAGATTTTGCTAAAAAGCCAGTATGAATTTTACAGGAGAAGTAATTCAGTTCATTAAGCATTTCTTGTGCACCTTCTTTGTTGTAAGGCAAAGTTTTCCCTTGCCCTCTAGAAGCTAACATGAGCTATGGATTACATGACAACTTCAGTTTGAGAAGCCACTGCTTTCATGCAGTCTACTGTATATTGAACCATTTGCTAAGAAACCAGCACTCACCCAACCAAAGCAGAGTTATCTGAACACCAAACATAAAGAGAATAGAGTAAAACCTGCTTTCAGATCCTGAACAGTGTCAATGCCCAATGAATCAGCTATAACCTCAAAATATTAGTGCTATTGATATATCAAATAAGATAATATTTGTTAAAAAAAAGTATCTATCACAGTACCTGGCACACAGTAGGGCTTTATAAATGCTTATTCCCTTCCCTTCCCCCAACCTGTCTCAGTCTGGTTCTAACTGTAATTCATGCCGTTATCATTCTTGGAATTTGTCCCTCAGCTAAACTGCATTGTTCCTTTCCTACTTTCACATCTTGCCTTCATTCCTACTTTAGATATTCCTTTCTTCTTCTATCTATATGTCTCTTTACTTAGCCCAAGCTTAAAATGGACTCCTCAGCCTCTCGGACCCAATTCCAATCCTACTTCCTTCCAAAACCTTGACACAGCTTTCACCTCTTAGTAAAAGTGATTTCATCTTCAAATTCTGTGGAGCAAATTCTTCTCATATAATTCTCCCTAGTACCATGATTATTTGTTTACTTTTTCTTCCCTACCACCATTGTATTGTAAATTATCTAAGAACAGTGGCCTATGCCAGAATTATTTCTGTTTCCCCAGTGATTTGTCCTAGTAGTTCTTAATAATTGTTTGTTTGGATGAATAGATAATGAATTAAGGAGAGGTCATTCAGCACCTCATTTCCTCAAAATGACTTTTCTAGTAGGACATTATGAGAGATATCCCACAAAATCTCCCTACAGGTTTCCAAAAATTCACTTTCCAACCCAAAGTTTCCAAATTAACTCATATTGTTACATTTCGCTTTTAAAATTGCCTTAAAAGAGGAGCAGCTAGGTGGCTCAGTGGATAGAACACTGGGCCTGGAGTCAGGAGGACCTGAGTTCAAGTCCGGCCTCAGACCATACACTTGACACTTACTAGCTGTGTGACCCTGAACAAGTCACTTAACCCCAATTGCCTTACCAAAAAAAAAATTCTCAGTTGAATCTTTCAGGGGCAGCTAGGTGGCACAGTGGATAGAACACTGGGCCTGGAGTCAGGAGGACCTGAGTTCAAATCCGGCCTCAGACCAAACACTTGACACTTACTAGCTGTGTGACCCTGGGCAAGTCATTTAACCCCAACTGTCTAAAAAAAATTGCCTTAAAGTTTTGTGTGTATATGCATATGGACACAAATGTATATATGTGCGTTGAAGAGAAGTACTATTTGAATTTAAAAAATGAATCTGCCATTCCTATTACAGAAGAATATTTGAAAGTATTATGTAAAATATTTAAATTATAATAGTTTTCTGACGAGATATTATTTGCCTTTTTTTTTTTCGGCAATCTTTGGCATTTCAAGAATTTCCTCTTGTTTTGATGTTATGTCTGCCTCACTATGAAAAGTGTGTTTGCTGATTTTTTTGGCTTGTTTTATATATTTCTCTTTTGAAAAATTAAAATTGGGGCATGCCTAAAGAATTTACTTTGTCCTTGACTGCCCCTCACACTGAAAAAATACAAGCCACCTATAACTTGGTGTGGTTAATTGAACACTGACAATGTTTGTGTAAGCAGTAAAGTCCTGCAAACTCTTTTTAAGCTGAGGCATATAACATCTCTAGGTCATGAGTGAGGCAGGCAAAAGTTTCTGAATTACTCCCTAGCTTATATTCTTAGTGAATTTTAGGAAACCTATTAAGTTCCAGAGACATATGAGGAAGCTACTTCCTTAATACTATTCAGGAAGTAGTTTTTGTTTTCTTCTTGGCTGACAAAAGTAGAAAAAGGCTGGAAAAATGGGAAAAATAAAAACATTTATACCAAACTCTAGGGAAAGGTAAAAATAAGTTGGACAAATTGTCTCTACTGCCAGATTGCACACTTGTCATGTTTCATAAAAAGGAATAGGAAAGAAAAAGAAATATAGGTCAGGGTTACTTTTTTGTTGTTTTATATCTATAAATGTATATTCTTTATTAAATATTTTTTCAGGGTATACTGTCCTCGCAATTGCGTGCAAGCGAACCCACACTATGCTCGTGTAATTGGAACTCGAATTTATTCTGATGTAAGTAGCTTAATTTATCTAACTCTAAAGTACTTATATGTATGAACTGTATACCATTGCCTTTTTATATTTTCACGTGACAAAGCAAGGGAAAAATTATAGGTTGATGCACTCCCATTTTAAACAAGTATACTTTGGAGTTACAAAATAAATATTTATTCATCATTGTTTTCTGATTGTAGACACTATCCTGCTTTAACTAAGCTATTTATTCCTGAGGATTGAATTAATCTATGTTTGGCTAAGCCTAAGAATGTGGAGTCAAACTTTAAAAAAAAATCACTTTTTTTCCTTGTTACCCAGTTACTCATGGCTCATGAAGAAAAATTTCTTGGGGTGTTATTAGAAAAGAAAAAAAATCAGGTCATTTCTTGTTGTTTCGTGCAAGGGGAAAATGAAATTTATCATATATAAATAATATTTTTATTGCCCATGTGACATTTGAGGAGCCTAGATTCCAATGGAGACTGCAAGATCAATACTTAAAAAGAACAGATAGATGAGGTATGTAGAAATGAATGGTGTAACTAGAGTTAGGGAGGCTTAGCTGTGGAGCTGTCATGGCAGAAAAAAAATATTTAGGCCAAGTTTTGAAGTATGGTTTACATAAAAGGTGTAGTGAAGGCATTCTAGGTAAGGCTCAAAGTTAAGGATGAGCAAGCTATATACAGGGTTTACAACAAAGTGGTTTGCTTGTCTAGAACAAAAAGTATAACCTTGACTAACCCGCATATGCATAATCTGAAGGTGATTAGTTCCAAAGAGAAGGAGAGAACTGCTACCTTGAAACTTGTAGATGGAAGATCTTTACGACATACTGTAGGCTTTTAAGCAGTTAGAAGTCACATTAACAATAATTGAGGAAGATGATTTTTGCTGCACATGAATGTCATGAAAACCTCATCTATCTTGGTAATCTTCTAGAACGTTAGAGCTAAAACTTACACAACCAATACTTTTCATTATACAGATGAAGAAACAGAATGCCCCCAAAAAAAGAAATAATTTGACCAAGGTCATGTATCTACTGAGGGTTAGAGCTGGGGATAGAACCTTTATCTTCTGATGATAAGTCTAAAACTATTTTACTTGTCCAACAGTATGAGTCATTTTTGACACCTTCTCTCATTCCCAAGTTCTATTGGTGCTATCATCTCACCTTCCTCCCCTTCTTTCCATTTCTACTGCTATTTTTCCTGGACTATTACTACTTTTCCTTCTCTATACTTTATTCTAACCCCACCCCCCCAAAAAAAGCAAAGCTCTTTTTATGTTATTCTTCTTTTTTTTTTTAGGCAATTGGGGTTAAGTGACTTGCCCAGGGTCACACAGCTAGTAAGTGTCAAGTGTTTGGTTTGAGGTCGGATTTGAACTCAAGTCCTCCTGACTTCGGGGCCAGTGCTCTATGCACTGCACCACCTAGCTGCCCCTATGTTATTTTTCTTCTAAAACCATTTTTATGGGTCCCATTTTCCTACCTAGTAACCTTCTAATACAGCAAAAGCTCTTAATTATCTAGCCTCAGCCTAATTTTTCAAATGTATCTTTCATTACTATCATTATGCCCGGCATTTTGTCTTGTCCATAAAAATTCTGTAAATACAGGGTTTCCCAAAAAGTCTTAGTGCAGTTTTATATTTTAATAGATTACAATCGCACTAAGATTTTGGTACATCCTGTATTTGTTGAATTGAAAAATTTATCATCCTCAGAGAATGAGGAACTCTATAATAAAGTAAATATGCCAGATAACTGCAACCTTTCTCTCTCTCTCTCTCTCTCTCTCTCTCTCTCTCTCTCTCTCTGTGTGCGTGTGTGTGTGTAGAAGAACATTCTTCCTTCTCTTTATATTTTCTGTAGTTTTGGGAGGGTGTAAAAGGTACCAAATTGGGAACTGATAGCTGGGTTTTAGTTCCAGTTCTGCTAATAGCTAATAATGTGATCTTGGGCAAATAGCATACCTTTTCTGTTTCCTGGTCAATTGAAGAGATTCATAGGTTTCTTATTCTTTCTACTCTCAGCTATGTTGTACTTACCATTGCATCCTTTATCTTTATTATATGGTGCCATTTATTTTTATTCACTGTATTTTTGTATATACAGATGGGTGACTCAGCCACTACATTTCTGATTAACTAGGCTGCTTAGAAATCTTTTTGGGGTATTCTTATTTGTTTGTATCTGTTTTCTGAATGATAGATTTGTAAAAATACGACCTCTAGATGAGAATTCCAAATTTCTCTACAAGATTAGTAAATTATTTCAGTTCAGCTTTTCTTGTAAGATTAATTATGAATTCTTTTTTCTTAAATATACCTGAATCAAAAAACTTTTATAACTTTCATATTGAAGTAATCTCAGGTACTGGTTTCCTAAATAAAGTTTTCCTTTATATAAATATCTATTTCCTTAAGATTGTAATTTATAAAAATTCTACCATTCTCACAGTATTCCAGTTAAATGAATGGGTTGCACACAGTATAAGTTCATTTTTTGGGGGGGCTGGAAGATTGAAACAGAGAAATTAAGAACCCTATAAATAAGAAAATTCAACAAGTTTCAAAATATGCCATTCACTCTCAAATAACACAATCTCACTTTAAATAAAATAAAACAGGATTAGGGGTGGGAAGGAGGGGTGATACAGGTAAAAGCCCACAGACTCTATGAGGCAAAGGAATTTGTCCTGCTTCTGGCCTTGACCTCTGTGTCCTTGGGCAAGTCACTTAAACTCCATAGATCTCAGTTTCCTCATTTGCAAAATCAGGGGACTCTGAAGTTCATTTCAGTTCTATATTTATGTCTGTCTTTTTATGAGCTGAATTGCCTTTGCTATTCACTATATATGTAGATACAGTTCACACATTTATTCTTAAGAAAGGATTTTGGACTTTCATTCTGGTTAATTACAAATTCTCTGTGTTCAATATAAGTGAGTACCATTGTTTCCACTATAAATTCCTCATTGTTTTCACACTGTGCATCTTTGTTCTGGTAAAGACTGGATATGAAGAGAAAAATCCTTTTTGACCTTTGAACTTGATCAGGAATGCATACCAGCTGCCCAGGCATAGGAGAAACAATAGCTTAAGAATACTTTAAAGTGCTTAAGGTTTAATGAATTGTATATCCAAGCACTCTTTCTTGCCTTTGGAAAATGTTGATAATTCTCCTCTAACAGAACAGGATAAAATGTGAAATGTGTGCTGAATTACTGTTAATCCCATCTCATATGAATTATATCAAATGCAAATATTACTTGAGTGAGGAGTTTAAGACTATGATTAAAATGCCTTTGTGGAGTCATGATGTACATTTGTATATAGCAGCCATTTCACAAAGAGGAGAAATGATTAAAGAGCTTGGCATTTAGTTTCCTTGATAGGTTAAATACCAAAAGATAACACAAAGTTCAGAGCATAGCAATAAAGTAAGGTTGTGTAATTGTAAAAGAAGTGTTTATGTTGAGGTATGATGCTCATGAGACAGACCATATGTGTAGAAAGTGAAAAAAGCAGAAATCTAAATCAATGAAGTTAGGATTAAAGAAGATACATGAGGATGCAGGGTAGAGGTCTTATTTTCTTGTTTGGGGGTATTTGGGAAGTCTTCAAGCAAAAGATGTATAGTTTTGTCTAATCACACTCAACTATAAAAATATTTTAATAGAGTATTTGGAAGAAAGGACATGTTAATCACAAGAACTTTGAAGAACTCAAAGATTATTATTTAATCTTCACAAGAATTCTTAATCTGCTATCTGTGAACATAGTTTAAAAATATTTTGATAACTGTATTTTAGTATAATTGGTTTCCTTTGTGATCCTACACATTTTATTTTACATATTTAAAAATATTCTAAGACTGAAGAGGTCCATATGCTTCACTGAACTTCCAGGTATCCATGACATGCAAAAAAGCTAACAATCCTCTGCTGCTCTAGGATTAGAATTGTTCTTATTACTTTGAAGGGATTTAAAATGCAAATATCTTCCATTCAACCAGTAAATGTTTTCCACATGAATTCTACCTCAGTATAGCTCTTTTTTTAATAATGGATGATTAAAATATTATTATGAACAAAATATAAAATATTATATTAAAATATTATGATTAAAATATATATATATATATTTATGTGGTAATTCTACTTAAGGGAACTATAAGCCCCTCAGTATCATCACTCCCTTGAGTGATGTGTGTCGTATTCCTTTTCTACCTTAGTAGACAGTCTTCATGACTTGCTGTGGCTGTAAAAATTAGCCACCTAATGACCACTCTTTTGATGATGTCTTTCCACATTTAACCTATCTGGTCCTTGGTCAACAGAATTCCATTCTGTTTCTAGGCCTCTTCTTGATGGTTTTCCAGCACAGTAGAACCTGCTAGACATTGAATTGTGCTGGCATAGCCTTTAAGTACCCAGAGTCACCTACAAGCCAAGATGAGGCATCAGAGTAGGACAGATAAGGAAACAGAGAGGTCTTTTAATTTTTCCATTATCACCTAATCTTTGATTCCAAATCCTAATGTTCTTTACATAATACTATGCTGCTCCCCAGAAAATTATATTGAGTTGAAAGCATTAATAAAATAGTTTATACCCAAGGCTCGTGCAAAATATTTTTGTGAAACTAATGATAAGTGTTAATTTAATAAAATGAAATAATGAGTGAAAAGTACTAGAAATTCTATTGTACCCAGTGTAATTATAGAACATTTTTAGTATTGCATTTCAAATCTACTATTCAGTCAACAACTATCATTAGAAATTTTGTAGGAGCTGTGTCCACTCTTCTTTTCTTCCTTATTAATACCGTTACTTATAGGAACTGCCATGTCCAAATGTACCTCCCCAAAAATGAAAAATAAACATAGACTGAGTACATGGAAAATGACCAAACCAAGAATTCTTAGTTCTGAATATCATTTGTTTGAATTAGTTAAAAATTTCAAATCCAAGCATGATGAATATTCATGAAAGGAGAGCAAATAACTACTTTCTGCCACTGAATCTCTTTGTAGGGGGTGGTAGTGGTAAACCATTTAGGCAGTAGCTACCTATACCAAATGGCTAGATTGTAGGATGGTTTACTGCATCATTTCAATCATTCCTATGCTCGTTTGACCCTAGAATTTTCTCAGTTCACCTTTTTCATATCTCTGGACTTTAGTTCCCACATTGACTGCAGAGTAGAGATAGATTGGATGACCTTGAAGGTCCTTTTGTGCTTCACATCCATGAACTTATGTAATTTGTTGATTCATTATAGCCTTTTGGATGCTCAATATACCTTGTCAATTACCTCCTTAAATATACCTTTACATTTACTATCAGTTTATCAAATGTAATATGAGGAAACTTAATTGCAAAATAAGATGAATTTTTTTTTCTTTTACCCTCTCAGGTGTCTAGCATTTGCAGAGCAGCTGTTCATGCTGGTGTAGTTCCTAATCAGGGTGGTTATGTTGATGTCATGCCAGTAGACAAGAGAAAAGCTTACGTTGCATCCTTTCAGAATGGCATCTTTTCAGAAAGGTAAAACCTATAGTTATCAACCAGTATAATTTACCTGTTTCTCAGTTAATAGGCTTCTGTAGTTGATATGTTTTAAAGGTCAAGAGACTAGGGCAGCGTGTGGGTTTATCATGCTTGTATAACAATTGGCCCCTAAATTACTGGAGAAGCTGCAGTACCAGAACTGCCTGTCTCCTGTAAGCTTATAATTCATAGCCTGAAAAGCTGATTACAAATCAAAACAACTCTATTGTTACTTGATCTTGCAAGAAATATTTGATGGAAGATGTTTTCTTCACTCTCTAGGATTTTCTAGATTAAAATTATTTGAAATTATTCTAGGTGAGAATGGCACAGAGTTATTTGGCTTATCTAAATTTACTGCAGTCTATGTAATTAACGTAGTTGTGTTTGTGTGTGCATGTGTTTAAAGTAAATAGTAAACTTGATTTTTCTTAAGGCCCCAGTCACTCCTGGAGTGAAAATTAGATTCTGTTTTCCTTACTAACTTGACTAAGGACAAAATTATATAAGAATTTAGAAGCTATGATGCCATTCTTATAAACATTTATTTACACATGCCCATAATTCATGCATTTTTTTATCTTTTGCAGTTTGCAGAATCCTCCAGGAGGGAAGGCATTCAGAGTATTCGCTGTTGTTTGAATAGGACAAATGAAATGCAAAATGTTAAAAAGAGCACTTGGAAGGGGATGGTAAAGATGAATCAGAATGCTATGCTGTACTTCTCAACTGTATAAAGCTGTAACATTGTTGTATAGAAGATGTCAACTATTTTTAGCCCCCTAAAGTGTCAGTGCTTGTAAATCTGGATAAATTCTGTAAAATAAAAACATGGGATATTATTGGAAAAATATCTTGAATATGAAAGTTTCAGAAATCCTGTGTTAAATATTGCTATATTTTCTTAGCAATTATTTCTGTCATGGTTAATTATGTAGTCATAAATGTTCTACCTTTCGTCTATCTGAATGTTATTATATGGTGCTTTATGTATGCCACTAATATAATAAATCTAAAAGCATAAAATGGATGACCTCAGAGAGATCACCTTGTGCTTAAAAATGATTAACCTGAAAATGAATAGAAACTGTGCTGTCACTATTTCCATTTTCTAAAGTCTGTTATTACTTACTCAGATAAGCTCCACTGTTTTTCAATTTTATTTCTGTACAATTTTTCTCATTTTTTAGGTTTAGGCATGAGTTGAGTTCATACTTCATATTGGTTTTCTATTTTTTTGGTAAATGGTCTCCTAATTTTCAAATACAAATCTACCTTAAAAAGTAGATTAAAAAAAAGCTAGATGCCTCTAAATCTTTCAGATCAAGTAGATAGCCCCAAATGGACCATGTATTTAATGGTAGATGGAATAAAACAATAGTAATGATGTAAACATATGCATAGTGGTTATATAGCATATATAGTAGACGCGAGAGTAAACAGATTGAACATTTTATGTACTCTTGAAATCAAAATCATATCTCTTTGTTTTATATCCTGGCAAATACTCCTGCAGGCCAGGATGTATAGGGGCAAAATGTCTTATGAAGATGAATTCATTTAATTGCTTCACCATTGCCATTGATTTTCTTTATGGTGAATGGCCTCGTGCATTAATTTTTACCATATTATGGTACATGAAAAACATATAATGGCAATATTATGTTTGTTTCTATGAAAAAATGTATCATGCTTTAAGACTAAAAAGCTGTTAAACTTTATTTTTGGTATTTTTTCTGCTCATGAATTTACTATTTTTTTTCTTCCCATAAATATATTGACATTCTTCATGTTTCAGAGTTGTTTTTTCCCCCCTATTCTCATTTGCTATGTGGACTACCTCATATAGTTGAGCAAGTTTGTTTAGGCTTAGTAATGATTTTGAATAAAATGAATAAAGGTACTTGCTAACAGCAAATTCATAGGTATTTTCATCAGATTTTATATTAACATAAAAACTACACTGGAAAGGAACCAGGAGAGATATGAAAGACTCAAGAGTAGACTATATTTTTTGTGGATGTACAAAAAGAAAAAAAAATTAATATTTAGAAGAGTCCTAGTTATGAAAACTTTAAAAGACTGAACAAATGCACACTCACCAAGTTAGTAAAATTATGGCAGAGACAGATGTACTCAGGTCAAGTATGGTCAGAGATGGAAAAGGAAGAGAGTTGGATGGGAGCAAGTATTGTTCTTTGCCTTTCTTTGTATCCTCAATACTTAACACAGAGTCTGCTACATAGTCAATATTTACTAAATGTTTATTGACTGACCAACTGAATACAAAAGTGATTCAAATGGAGAAATGTTTGCTGGAGAACAAAGTTACTAATAAATTGTGAGGAACACCATGCATGATTAATGCTTTATCTATCCATCACTGTTAGGGGATAAGGTGTTCTCTGTAAGAAGATTTTCTAGTAACTTGTATTTACCCCCAAATTTTTCATTGAATTTTTTTTTGCTGCAAATATTTTTTCCAAAGAAAAAATATAGATATGTACATATATATGCATATATAACACACATATATGCATTTATGTATAAGTAGATATAACTTTACTTCTCTGTCATGAAACAAAGCAAATAAATGATTGACACTCAAAAAACAGTCTTCTCTTTGATAACGCATGATTATCTTACTACTCTAAATATTTCACTGTGTTGTAATACAATGATGCCTTTAGGGGCTGTGGAGTAGGACAGGGATGCTTTTCTCTATGTTAAAGTGTTGTAGGCTCCTGTACTTTTAATGATGTCTGTTCTTAATGTTTTTTTTTTTGTCTCTTCCATTGTAGTCAAACTTTCAGCAATCACTTTTCCCTTATGTTTTCTGCATTTAGCTTGTTCCCCATCCCCACTTTCTAGCTGATTTGCTACTTTTAATTTGTTATAGGCAGGAAAAAAAAACATGTTAACAAATTTCTTTCCATTCTCAGCCAAGAAAGCTAATGTTGTTTTAGAATCCCTTCTCAGGTCATTTTCATCTACCTGATGTTATCTGATGTGCACTTATTTATGTGTTGTTTCCCCTATTAGAATGTATGTTTCTTGAGGGGAGGGACATTTCAAAATTTGTTTTTGTCTTTATTTTTGCCTTTTCCCCCCTCCAATACATAACACCATCCTTGGAACATAGCAAACCCTCTGTTCTTACTATATTGACTGATTTCATCAAGAAACAGTTAGGACAACAGGGAGGTGATAATCCAGATGTCCGCTGCACTGGTCAGACTACAGCTGGAATGATTGTGTTCAGTTCTAGACACATTTTAGTGAGGGTAATATGAGTCGAATGAGTTAAACAAAAACTAGAAAAGAGCTAACAATATGAGAAAAGGTCTTCAGCTTATGCCATATGAAGATTCATAGAAGACACTGAGGATACACATGATGTAACTTGTAGAAAAGAAACTTTTTTTTTAAATGTTAACTGTCTTAAAATCCTTGAAGAACCATCACGTGGTAGAGGGAATGGATTTGTTCTGCTTGGGCCCACAGGGAAAAACTAGGAGCTATAAAGAGTCAAATGTTCTAAAAGAAATATTTCCTGGTGGTTAAAGCTGCCCAATTCCATGGCATGGTCTGCCTTGGGAAGTAATGGAGTTCCCTCTCTGAAATTCCTTAAGCAAAAACTGGATGACCATTTGTTAGTATGTGGTAGAGGAGAATTCTTGTTTAATTATAGTTTGATCCAAATTGTCTTTGAAGTGCTATCAGACTGAGACACTGGGATTCCGTAAAACTCTCCAAGGTTTTCATGTTAACATCAAATCCGTGGCTAACTTTCTAAGCATACAACTATCGCAAGCACTCAGTCCTATCCTGATTCTTTGTTTATCAAACACACCTTGGTTCTATATTATCATTGTTTCTTTTATCTTTTGTAGCATTATGTCTAATGGCTCAAATCCATATTTTTTCCAATTTGACCCTTGGACAATAGCTCACAAGCAAGTATCAAAACAACACATCAAATGATTGATGAAAGCGGGTACTTTATAAATGTTCATGGCAATTGATTCCAGATACATGAATGAAGTAAAAAGGCCAAATTCTTCCTAATATGATTAATTTTGTACATAAAGTTTTTTTATAATAAAATCAAGTCAGTTTTTTTCCTGAAGCTGTCTATAGAATACTTGTTACTTATACATTGAAAGACCATTGCTTTTATTATTTTTATTTTAAAAATCTATTCTTAAGTATTTCTGTTACTATTTCAGAACTAATACACGCTGTTGATACAACTTCAATTAAGACTTCAGAGCATGTGCAAGTATTACTTCTGGTCTCTTACCACATGAAGGAAAGGAGTGTTTTGATTGGCTGCTGAGCCAAATCTAAGAGTGAATTCAAAAGACTAATTGGTCAAGACATCATCTCTTTCCTTATAGATTTCATCTAAATGTGGGGACAAGAACTTTTGCAAGGTGCTAGATAGGATAGAGGCCTTGGGCCTTTAGCTTCCCATTTGGACTACCATCCTTGGTGCTGCTTCTTGGCTGCAGAGTCAATCTCATGCTGGACGGGGTTTAAGTTACTCTTTGAAGTTGTGCTGGTAGATGGCAAACTGATCTGAGCTCTGGCTCCTGGACTTCTAGAAGCCTACTTTCTGAACCTTTCAAAGCTCACAAGGTCACAGATTAGTTACCTCCAGACTATGTAAGACTGGAAAAGAATAGAGACAACAGATGCAGAAATTACAGCAGGGCTGCGTGCTAATGGACCATATGACAGTGGGAAGTTAAAAGATCTAATGCCTTTCTCACCATCTGGAGTCTTAGAGCAGTCCTTGACTACTTACATGAATGCAGTCAGGCAAGAAAGAGAAAACATTTTGGTTAGTTAGTACTTTTGGAATGCATTCTCAATTCTGGCTTAACCGTCAATTAAAAGGTTCCCCTTCATGTGGTGAGCAGATTGCAAACAACACAAACACTTGCTCTGAAGTCCATATGTGGATTATATTAGAACTTGGTTTATTGGATAGTCCCTTCATTACACTCATATGTTCAACCTTCCTTGATCCTGATCCGATAAAGTGAGGATCATCTGTTTCTTGTGACTCTACCCCTTCCTCCAAGTTTGTATATACTTCTTACATATTCCAGTTAGGAGAAATAGTGTGTTCTACATCCCATCATTTTTTTCTATGCTAATATATTTCCCTTATCATCTTTTATTTTCTCTTTTAAAACCCTCCACTCCCAGGGCCAAAATTGGTCAACTAATTCTCTCAATAACCTTTGAAGATGTTAAGGTTCTAAAGAGTCACTTACTTCTCCCCTTATTAGAATGATAGCAATGAACAAATAGCCCCTTCCAATTGCTCAAATAAGTTTACTTTCTAATATTTCTTTTGGATCTTGTTTTTACATTTTAAAATTACTTCTTAAGTGTAGACATTTTATCAAGAATGTTTGAGAATCCTCTATTTCATTAAAGTTGTATCTCCTACCCCACTAAACAGGATTAACTCAGCTTTTCAGGGTCAATTATTCTTGGCTGTAAGTCTATATCTTTTGCCTTTTGGAATGTTAATATTACATGACCTCTCACAGAGTAACATTGCTAAGCCTTGTGTGGTCCTAACTATGTATTTTCTTGGAATTTGAAGTTCTTTTTTTTTCCTAGCTAACTATA